CCCCCCCCCAACTTTTTTTTTATTCGTTGCATCTACAATTGATGCAAACATGTGTCTACCCAGCGGCCAGAATTGGGAAGGAATTAGGATTGTGGTAGGGTTTAGGACAATTTACAGAGGTTGGATTAGCCATTGTGAAGCAGCCAAACTTATTTTGTTGGGACAAATTTTACATGAGATTGTCTGGAAATCGAATCTGGGCCCCCTTGGTGAAAGGCGAGTAACTTCGCTCTGAGCCACCATATGACCTGACTCAGAGGGGAGATGATGAGAGACTGTTGTTACGTTTTCCATTTTTGATTAGTATTTATCACTTAGGTACTTCTACATATAATTTTCCATCGAGTAATAGATAATCATTCTGTGTCAGTGTTGGCACAGGCATAATGAGTAAATTTCCTTAAAATTTCATTTTCATCTAATGTCACTAGCATGCAACAAATCTCAAGTGCCAGTACTTTGACAAGTACAATTAAGTGTAGCAAAACTATATTCAGATGTAATCATTAGAAATAACTTATTAAAAATCATTAGTCTTTCATTTTACAACCTATACCTGGCTTGGTGTAGTATTTTGCAAAGATGTGGGAGATGGTGAACCACTGACATGAGAACCAGTAGTTTCATCCCTTGATTCCTCACTCTGAATTGAAGATTGAACAGGCATCCCAAATGGCCTTCCAGGAGGACGCCCTGGGGCACATGCTGGTAAAGTTACAGTCATCATGACAGAGAAAGCTTCTGGGTCATCATCCTCTGAAAATAAAATAATGACATCGTCTGAATAATACTTTTTTAACTACTCTGAACCACATACAGCATAAAAACATTTCTCAACGTAAAGAAAGGACAAATGAATCACAAAGTATTTTTTGATTATAGCTTCATCTTTACCATCAATGTTGTACTTTTGCAAGGTTAATTTTTTTGCAATTCTTGAAAATACAGGTTTCCCCAGAAAAGAGGCCAGCACAACTTTCTTTGCCATTCTTTGCTATATACAAGAAACAAATTGGAGCTGCTCTTGAGAGAAAAAGCGTTAAAAAATTACCTTTGTTTCGTTCACAATTAAGTGAAAACTATTCATAATTTTGAAAAATAGTACCCTACTTAATTTCAAGATCTATTTTGGATTAACAGATTTTATTTAAAAAAATAATTTATCTTTGATATTGAAGTTGTAGGAAGATGCTGGAAAAATTTTGAACTTTTGAAATTAAAAAAATCCAAAATGTTCAACAAAAATGCAAGCTTACACCATTTCTTTAAACATCTTGTGCTCTATCTGGGAAACAAATTTAAGAAGAAATTTTGAGCCATTTTTCAGGAAATTTTGAAATTATTGTTGAGGCTTCTTATAAAGAACTCCCAAAAAATAAAAAGATCCATTTCAAGTTCGGAGGGGTTTGAGTTTGCTTAAATTGATCAGAGAATATTAATTTTGAAGATAATTGTTTGTACAGTTTAGGCACTAGCATTGACCATGGACGGACACACGGACAGACTTTTGATGTCAATTGATTTTTTGGTATTAAGGACCCACAAAACATGGATTCTGAATACACAATATGATAAAGTAATTTACACCACATAGAAGCAAGATTTATCCACTTTTTCATTACTTGGGCCTGGCAATAAGAGTTTTTCTGCTGAAAAATTGCCGTTTTTCTCCACAGGTTTACAATACTTTATACTGCGTAAGCAGTATGCGAGAAAGAAAGAACCACAGTTTAATGAATAATTAATAACTTTATTCTTTGAATACACGTTGATCTACTGTCTTCATTGACTTACTAAAAATTCGCCAATGAAAAAACACCAAAGAATCCGATAATGCACATAATGTTTTCATTCTTAATACCTTTTATTTTCCCAATGTGAATATTTGAATACTCAGCACCTCTAGTTGCCTCATCAGCGGCTGATAAGTAACTAGTGCTGTCATCTTCATCTCCAATTCCAAGAGATGGATATGGATCTTCGGACATAGATGTTGTATCAGAAGGAATAGTTGTAACAGATTGCACTTCCCTCATCCATTGTTCAATGGACTGGGGTTGTAGATCTGGATCAGGTTCAGAATCTAACAGTGCACTCTCATCTCCCCCTATCAATGATGGAGCAACACTCATTTGACCTGTAAATAAATAAATATTTTAAATAAATTGAAACATACGTATTTATCTATTGTTACTGTGAAAATATTTCTGTCTTGAATGACCAAGGAATTCACCATGTATCAAGAAATAACTATGAAACTCACTAAGAGAACGCTGTGTAAGCTTCACTGAGTCATTGATGGTAATACGACTACGAGTAATGCCTTCTGGAGAGAGAAGCACTTGAAGAAAGTCTGGAGGAGGTGACTGGAGAAGCTGCTGAAGTGTTTCCAAAGCTGCTACCACAACATTGTGATCACTGCTATTACTAAAGTGAAGACAGAGTTCATAAACCTAAAAACAATTTAAATTTACAACATTTTTTAAATGTTTATAAGATGTGCATTAGTAAACTAAAAGAGCATGTCATTAAGTTAGATAATTTAATTGTCATTACACGTCTTAATTTGTGCTATGAAAAATCATTCCAAGGATAACAAAACACTTTATGTTTTGTAGCCAGTTAAACAATCCCAATACAGTTAGTTGAACAGAATATATATGATTTTACCTGAATCATTCGGTCAACAGATGGAGGAGCTTCCCGAAGGGATTTCCTCACACCAAAGCTACCCCACATCTCTTCCTCTGCTTCTGCTGCAGATGCTACATGGGGCAAGATGTTACGCAAGCATCCCAAAACACCAAGAACAGTACTCAGTGGCTGGTTTTCTCTTAGAGGAACTACACAATCTGAAAGAAATGAGAATTTTACTCGGGTTTAAGATTTTCACTGCAACAGTTTACTCAACTGTGGACAAAGAATTACATGCAGAAATCAGATGGATGCACTATTCTGGTATATCTCAAAAAGGAATGTAATCAGCAAATAAAACTTACTTAATCCCTGAGAAATATTAATTAAGTCCAGTCAATAAAATAAAATATTTCATCCTTAAAACAAACTTCCGACAACAACTGACAAATAAACACCTATTGAAATGCGATAGATGGGGTGAGATTGCCAGTCGACATCCCCTAAAGCAATTCTTGTATCACCAGTAATATTAATAAATAAATAATTTTCCATTTATACAACTATCTTCAACAATGAATGCCTCACATGTACCTAGATTTGCTCAAAGAATGCTTCAAAAACACATTCAAGTTATTTTGAAGTTCTAATAACCATCTTTATAAACTCATCATAAATATTTTGTTATACAGTTTCTGAATGCCAACGATGCACATGGTGCAAAAGTTATTGTATATGAACCGTTTTTTTATCCCCCCTTATGTTGGCAGAAAGTTATGATGCTCTTGATAGAAGGTTAATAATAATTTTGTTATTGTTAAGTAATAATATTATATTCTGTGTCATGTTATGTACATGGCTCACTATCTTGCCCTTTGAAAGATTCCTCCGAAATTACCCCTCATCCTCCCTCCACCATGGATTTTTGGTTGCCTGAGTACTGTGAAGTGCTGGTTTAAATTACTTCTGTAAGTTGTAATGTGTTCTCTACTTCAACTGAAGCATTTATGGAGAGATGTGATGCAGGAGACTAAAATACGAATTTACATTACATCATAATCAAAGCTAGCTAATATGGCTCAGAAACATGGATTCTGAAATACAAAGAATACAATACAAGGCTGGATGCTACTTGTAATATTTTAAAGACATATTACAGGAATCACAAGATTACACCAACCAAAAAAACAAACAAACCGACATTAGAAATTACAAAGAAGCGCAAGATAAAGAATACTGAAGAGGTTCTAAGAAAAGAGCTAGAAGAGATGGCTCATTCACATCCACATAATGAAAAAAGAAAGATTGCCTAAAGCTGTCTTAACACTAAGCCCAAAGGACAAGGCCAAACAAGAAATTCATCTCTTAGAAAGATCTGGAGAAATAACCATCAAGCCTTTTTATCAGAAGGAAAAGATGGCATGTCCAATACACTCGCATGATGAAAAATGTAATTTCAGAAAAATTATATGGGCTTTCCCCCCATCAAGTATACTATATCAATTACATTTTAAGTACCCTTTCATGTAGATTTCCTTCCAAACTGATTTTAAACAATCTAATATTGATTAAAACTAACTCCAATTTATTTAAAAAGTATTCAACTTATATCATGAACTTGTGTTTACATTACATAATAATGACATACTTTAGTTTGACCAAGATTATATAAGACTTACAAAAAATCTATAATTACTTACCAAGAAGTGTATTCATTACATAAGTGATAAAAACATGGGGTTTTCTGCAGTGAATACATATAGCAAGGATACTGCACGCAGCTGTTCTACGGACTACAGCTGATGGAGAAGAGAGATTATGAAGGAAGGCCTTCAACAAACTCTAAAATAAAGAGAAAAATAAAAGAGCAGTTATATTGGCATTCATTTGCTCTGCACAAAAATCATTATTTATATTTCCTCTTATTTAAAAAAATTATACCACTCTAAAACATGGTAAATAAGTATTACTAAAACTCATAAAAGAACTAACTTTAATGTCATTGTCGGTGGTAAAGTTTCCAAGAGCTTTGAATATCTTTGAGACAGCTGCTGCAAGTGTCTCCAAAACTGGCTCTTCAGTTCGTTTAGCTATTTGTACGATACAAGGGACCAAATTGAGAACATAGGGTTTACCTTTCTGAGGTCTGCAAGAGAATAACAATGTTATATTTCATTTTTAGAAGCAGCTGTATTACACAACACAAATCAACAAAAAACAAACCTAATCATGTGACACAATTCAGCAAAACGCCACAAAGCAGCTCGCAAAGTCCGTGCATTACCATTTTTCTTTATCTCTTTGTGTAATTCAACTTGAATCTTAACTACATTGCTATCTGCCATTGCCTATAATGTTAAAATAGACATATTGCATTTGATCAACATATTATTTCTGTATTAATTTTACAAGGACGTTTTAACAGCAACCTACCCTTATAATCCTATTTAAACTCTCATCAGCAATCATGCGTACATCTGAATGTGAATCATCACACAATTGTAGGAGAATTTCGATTGCTATACTTAGAAGGTGGGAAAAATTTGATGCACCTTTTATTCCTGACTGACACATAGTATCAGCAATGGTCAGACAATGTGCTATTTTATCTTTTCTTCTGTACAACATAGAAGAAAAAAATATTATGGAGTATAAGCTACATTAAAGTGAACTTCTCATTATACTTTGTAGTCAGTTACATTTTTATTTACCTCGAAGACGTATCGTCTGACATTTGTGGTGTCAGCTGGAGAATTTTTAGCCCTTCCAAGGCTTTTACTAGCTTCTCAAGGGTTGCCATGTCTTGAGAAGAAGTGAAAGGCACTCAAAACACTAGTTTATGATTGACTAAGTTTGCCACAAGAAACAATTCATTTTTCACTATTACATCTCTCAATTAGGAAAACATTACATTAGATGAAACCCAATGAGCGGCTGACGCCATTTTTTAAATGTCGATGCCAACGCTACCTGTTCACGAGTACAGAACCACATCGCCACCATGACCCACCATAAACATCGCTCTCGCACGCTGTTTCCCTTCATCTTACATCACTACCACTACCATGACACTATCATGATTACCCATGACTTGGAGCCTTTGACAACTACCACTGTAATTGTTTTGGTATTCTGTACTCTAACCTACCATTCAGGGCTGGGACATAGTCCAGCCCTCAGCACTTAGCACGTGCTTATAGCGCTTCCGCACTTTTTTGGAACAATTTTTTTAACGTGAATTTAGATATGGTCATGGACAGTTTAAGGTAACGCGACGCCTGTGGCACATAAACTGGGGATTTCTCAAAATTTTCAAATTTGAGACGTCGGGTAGAGTTGCCATACGACCCGAGAGCGGGACCCCTTTTGCGACGGCGTATTGAGCGAGGAGCGCGCGTCGAGTGAGGACTGACGTCACCACTTGAACACTACGAACCTAACTCCTGCGTATAGCATACGCTAACCACTGTCTGA